ATTCTGCTCTTTTAGGGGAAATTGTTCTGCAGATATGTGTATATTAGGGCAAAATTTACACTAAAATACTCAAGAATCATAAAGAGCCACTGAAAAACATGCATAGCACATCTCTCAATGATACAGCATAAAATTCTTGTTGCAGTATTGTGCCAAAGAACTACCAGCATATTCTGGCCTTGGTATTTGCTGTTAAGGAGATCAATGAGAACCCCAAGATCTTGCCTAATATTACACTGGGATTCCACATCTATGACAGTTACTTCGATGAAAGGATGACCTACTGGGCTGCTCTGAACCTTCCCTCCACACTTGTCCCCAACTACAAGTGCAACAACCAGAAACACCTGGTGGCAGTTATTGGAGGACTGGACTTGGATATCTCCGTCTACCTGGCAAACATATTGGGCATCTACAAGATTCCCCAGGTAAGATGCTGCGTAGGGGATTTCACACATTCACCATGATTTCTTCTATCCAGAAAGGATTTGTGTAATATAGAAACAGTTGTGAGAGACGAAAGAGAGTGATTCTGCCCTTCAAAAGGTAATGTGATGGTAGAAGAGTTCTCATCTCACCCCAGTTCCTTGTCCAAACACACCTAAAAACTTGTATCCAAATTCCATGCTACCAGCTGACACCCTCTCACCTTTGCTCCATGGCCTACTGGTCGGAGACGGAAGCTGCTCTCCTGCAAAGCTGGAAGCCTGCCTATCAGGAGTCAGCTGCTGACGCATTGTGAGACTTGATGCAAATTCTGTGTGTTAGTGGCTTGAGAGAGGAAGGAAAGACGCCATGAAATCAGGAGTTGAAATTTTGTGGTGAAGCAACATGAAAGAAACAGGGGAGAGAAAAGCAGCAGTACAGAAAAAACCTAGAGATCACAGTGGATAAAGAAAAGGAGGGCAGAGGAGAGGAAAGCAGGAGTTCAGGGAACTGGGAATGAAGGTATGGCAAAGAAGGAGGTGGAGGCTGAGAAACACAGGGTGCAACCTGCCACCCTTCCCAGCTTTCTGGAACCTGCCTTCTTAAGGCAACTGTCTCATTTTCCCTCCTGGGTGGGCAGGTCCTAGGTGCACATACCCCGTCCTTCTGCAATTGTAGATGATGCTCCTTTATTTCCTTTTAGCTCACTTATGGGTCCTTTTCTCCAGAGGATGCTGGTCAAAGCCAATCCACTTCCTTCTACAAGATGGTGCCCAATGAAGCCCATCAGTACACTGGGATTGTTGAGTTACTTCTGCACTTTGGCTGGACGTGGGTTGGGTTGCTTGCTAGAGAAAGTGAAGGTGGAGAGAGATTTATTCAGGCCCTGAAACCTCTGCTCTCCCAGAAAGGCATTTGCTTGGCCTTCTCAGAGACAATCCTGAAAATGATACATTTGGCTGAGTATTATGACATGTTTCCAGACTTGATCCAAATTTATCAAGCTATTATGGAAAGTAAAGCCAAGGTGGTGGTTTTCTATGGGGGAATAAAGTCCATGCTTACCTTGAGAGAAATTGTAGCAATTGGTGAATTGGAAAATGTGACCAAGACATCTGTGGGCAAGGTGTGGATTCTGACAGCACAGCAGGATTTCACAGCACGGACCTATCAAATGAACCTGGATATGCAAGTCTTCCAGGGTTCCCTCTGCTTTACAGTTCATTCAAATGTGGTGAAAGGATTCAAAGCATTTCTTGAGGTACAAAATCCTTTTGAGGAAAATGGAAATGGCTTTGTCAAGGAGCTCTGGGAACAAGTCTTTCTCTGTTTATTTCCAAACTCCAATACAGAGGAGCAGGCCAGTGGAACCTGCACTGGAGAGGAGAAGCTGGAAAATCTCCCTTCATCTGGCTTTGAGATGAGCATGACTGGCCACAGCTACAGTCTCTATAATGCTGTCTATGCAACAGCACATGCTTTACATGCCATGTTCTTGTCTAGGACCAAAAACAAATTAGCGGTGGAAGGAGAGATGTGGGAGCTTTGGCTTTGGCAGGTAATGCCTATCATGAGATATAATTTATTTGACATAGGCTGTGATATGCAAAACAGTACCCTGAAAAATTTCAGGCTCCAGTGAAATAGCACATTCTCCCCTTCTGTGCAGAAAAGCTACTCATGGAGTAAGACAGTGAAGTACCAGACCTGTCCCACTTTTTTGTGAGCAACTTCCTTTGTGTGCAGAGAAACTGTTAGTGAAGGCGGATCCAATCCTGCACTGTGCTGCTTCTTCCAAAGCAGCTTCACTGCACACAAGTTACAGGGAGGATCCCAGCCTAGACTGAGACGAGTAGGAGAGACCTGGCAAGGAAATGCAGGTGGAGCTGGAGAAAAAAGTATCTTTGACTATGGAAATGAGATGGGGAACAGCAAGGAAGAGGACTTTAAACCTATTTTTTTAGTTTTTACTTAGCTTGCTAAACTATCATTCTTGTTGGACTCCTTCGTGAGAGAACCCAGAAGAGATTTTATATGGCAACTCATGCAGCAAATAAAGGCATGAAATTTAGGTGTTAAAATCTTAAAATGTGCCCTTTAAGTCAATCCCAAAGCATCCCACTTACTTAGCACAAGGATAGACCACACAATTAGTAAGTTATACATTGTTTACATACAAAACTCTTCAAAGGCCAGATTCATGTGCTTTTCCATACGGCTGTCAGTTTTGCAGGCAGTCAAACATAGCTCGGTTACAAAATGGTTAAAGGTCCTAAAATATTGGTATAGAAAATACTGGTTTCAGACTCCATTCTTGTCTGAAACATAGAAAACTGGTTGGTAGGAGCAGCTCAGAGCTCCACAGCAACATCATTCAAATGTAGACTGAGTGGAACCAAAGGTTTTGTTGACCATTTCCTCCCAAGGTGAGGGGAAGTGACATTGGCCAAGCCTGGCAGGACAACTTCCTCTATGGCATCAAGCACCTTGTGCATTAATTAGGCTCAAGCGTGCTAATTACCCTACCATTTCCTTAGAAACAGGAGATATCCAAGCAGTGGGAACAGAAAGGATGGAATTCCCCCCCCCCCCTCATTTCTTCTTGGTCAGGAATGCATTGGGATTTTCCCCACAGGAAACCATAGAATTCGTTAGCTCAGTAGGCAAATGCTCGCCTTATGAATGATTTCTCAGGAACCGATTAGGTTTGTATAGCAATTCCTGCATGTACAGACAGACTGGAGGCATCGTGAGTGCCAATAAGGAGAGACAAATGCATCACTTCATGGTTACTATTTTTCTTCCAATGCAGCTCCACCCCTTCCTTAGGAGTGTCTCCTTCAACAACTCTGCTGGAGAAACTGTATCTTTTGGTGAGAGCTGGGAAGTAGAATCTGGCTTTGACATTACCAACCTGGTCACTTTTCCAAATAACTCCTTTGTGAGGGTCAAGGTTGGAAGGGTGGATGTGGAAGCCATTCCAGGCCAGCAAATTTCCATTGATGACAACAGAATGGTTTGGCACAGAAGCTTTCACCAGGTGGGGCATTATTCCTACATCCATGAGATATAGGAAAAGAGAATGTTATTCTACTTACAGATCATCAGTCCAGCACATACCTGCCTTTCCAGCCAGATTCTAAACATTTTTTCTCTGCACTGTGTAAGAATACAGTGGTACCTCAGGTTAAGTACTTAATTCGTTCTGGAGATCCGTTCTGAAACTTACACCAGGTGGGGCATACTTCCTACATCCATGAGATATAGGAAAACAATGGTATTGCACTTTTAGATTTTCCTCTGCACTACATAAGAACCTAAGATGAGCTTGCTGGATCAGGCCAATGGCCCATCTTCTCCAGGATAACACCCATGGCCAGTCTTGTCCTGCATCTGGATATGGTGTACAAGTGACTGTTACCTTGTGTGTCTCTCTATCCCAGGGTATTTCATGAGTCTCTTGTCAAGAATGAGGTGTTGGTTGCTCTGATGGGAAGGAAGCAGGGACTATGGAGTTTGTGGGCAGCTGTTTTTCTCACCAACAGTGCAATGAGGAAATTGATTTCTTAGATTGAGGAAGACTCAAACCTAAATCTCTTTAGGTGCCAGGTGAAAACATTCCTCTTCCCCCAGTTTTTTGTCAGATTAAAGTATCTCTGGCCTTTTGAACTGGCGGTGATATTGTTTCGGTTGTTACTGTATAAGGTAGATATTTGTGGTTTTATACAGAAAATGACCCTGTGGGAAACCTACAAGTTAGACCTGAGCACAAGATCACTCTCCACACAGTCTCCAAGTCTCATTCTTTGGAGTACCGTATTTTTCGCTCCATTGGACGCAGTTTTCCCCCTCCAATAATTGAGGGGAAATGTGTGTGCGTCCTATGGAGCGAATGCAGGCTTGTGCCATAGCCGCGCGCAACCCCTACGGCAGGGAGAGGCTGCACGGGACTATGGTTTCTTTAGCTCCACACAGCCTCTCCCAGCAGGGAGAGATTGCGCGGGGCTAAAGAGGAAGCCAAAGCAGCCAGCGGGATCCATCCCGCTCGCTGCCTTGGCTTGTGCCATAGCCGCGCAACCCCTCCGGCAGGGAGAGGTTGTGCGCAGCCTGTAAGCTGCTCTTTGGGGCGGGTGGGGGGAATATTTTTTTTATTGATTTCCCCGTCTAAAAACTAGGTGCGCCCTATGGTGCGAAAAATACAGTATGTTTCTGTCCTCTCCAAGAAGCACAATTGTTTTATACATGCTATGATTGGAAAATAGGGGGTGGAACAGGTATTATATTTTGTATGGGGACAATAGGGGCAGTGCTGGTGAAGGAGAATCCCCAATCCTCTTCCCCTTTGCGTCCTCATGCATTCTTCCTGAATGCCTGAAAGGGGCTCCAACATGGTAAGTTTCAGCATTTTTTATTTTTATTTTAAACCAATGAAAAAGAAATCAGTAGCTGGCACTGAGTCAGGAATAAGTGCAGTAGTTTAGTGTCTTCCTACTGTTGGTTGGAAGAAAAAGGAAACAAAAAGTGCTAATAATTTCTGGGTGCTAAAATGTTTATGTGTTTATTTCAATGGGGAGATGCCACCCCTTTCTGTGTGCGGCCCAAGTTGTCCCCCTGGTTCCAGGAAGGAAAAGAAGGAGGGGGAGCCATTCTGCTGCTATAATTGTGCTCCATGTCCTCAAGGCAAGATTTCGACCCAGAAGGGTAAGAGAATCAGGATATATGTTTTTCGGAAATAAGTCATGTTAGAAGTTGAGGAAAAGGATAAATAAATCTGTGGTAACGTGTGCATTTTTGTATATATTGTTTGAATGGAGAACTACATCACAAATGTTTAAAGAAGTAAACATTTTTAAGGGCATCTGTACTTTGATTAACGTGTTGTTACAAGGAGTTCAATTTAGATAACTTTCCCATTCAAGTGGCATAAAAACCAAATTTCTCCTCCATACCTATTGGCAGACAGCCCCCATAAAGGATTATGGACCTAAAAAGAATCTGTTTGTCACCCATGATCTAATCTTTGTCACAGGTTAAAATACAGTAGATATAAAGACACAGGCAATTTTGAATCCAATGCACCAGTGATATGACTTGGTAGGAGACACCTTCCTTAATTCAGGCAATAACAAACAAACGTGTGTCTGATTGATGCGCGATCACATACCCGGACGGGGTGGAATGGGGTCAGCATAGGGCGTGGGGGTGGAAGAGGGCTGGGAATGGAACCCCTGTGCAAAATGTTCACGGACTGTACCTATTCTGAACAATAACAATGTGGTTAATGTGGAGTTAGCCAAAGCACAAAGTTCTCATGCATCATGTTCATTCTGGTTATTCTGGAAATATGTGTGATACCTCTAATTTAACATTATCCATTCCATACTCGCACCGTTAGCAGTTGCTCTGCAATACATCCAAAATCTGAATGTATTATTTTCTTTCCAGACATGGTTGACTGTGTTGCGTGCCCAGAAGATCATTATACCAACATGAAACAATCGCAATGCATTCCAAAGACCATCAGCTTCCTGTCCTTTAAAGAGCCTCTGGGGATGAGCTTAGCATTGTTTGCTCTTTCTCTTTCTCTCCTCACAGTGGTGGTCCTAGCCATCTTCATTAAACATCAGGACACACCCATTGTCAGAGCAAACAATCGGGACCTCACCTACACTCTCCTCACTTCCCTCCTGCTCTGCTTCCTCTGCCCATTGATCTTCCTCAGCCCTCCAGAAAGAGTGAGCTGCCTGCTCCGACAAATGGCTTTTGGCCTTGTTTTCACAGTGACTGTTTCTTGTGTTCTGGCCAAAACGATCACGGTGGTTCTGGCCTTTGTGGCCACCAAACCAGGATCCCGAATGAGGAAGTGGGTGGGGAAAAGACTTGGAAGCGCCATTGTGTTTTCTTGTTCCCTTATCCAAGTGGGCATTTGTGCTGTGTGGTTAGGAACCTCTCCCCCATTTCCTGATTCTGACATGCACTCAATGATGAGGGAAATCATTCTAGGCTGCAACGAAGGGTCAGTTGCCCTGTTTTACTGTGTCCTGGCCTACATGGGTTTTTTGGCCATTATCAGCTTTGTTGTAGCATTTTTAGCCCGAAAACTGCCTGAGAGCTTCAATGAGGCCAAATTCATCACCTTCAGCATGTTCTTGTTTTGTAGTGTTTGGATCTCCTTTGTTCCAGTGTACCTGAGCACCAAGGGGAAATACATGGTGGCTGTGGAGATCTTCTCCATCTTGGCTTCCAGTGCTGGCTTACTGGGCTCCATCTTTGCTCCCAAATGCTACATCATTGTGTTGAGGCCTGATCTGAACAGCAAGGATCAGTTAATAAAGAGGAAATAATAAATTATCCTTTCATCCTTTGGTTTTTTTCCACGAAACTATGAGCAATGTAATCTCTCCATATCCACACCATTAAATTCTGTTATATTTTACATGTTGCAATTGTTATGTGCAATTTGTTTTAAAACCAAAATATGGTCTCTCTGAAACAGGAGCCCCTTATCTTGTTTTAACCCTAAGCATTATTTTGGAAACCATCAGTACCATAAGATATTGAGACCTGATTAGAAATTCAGAGGGTAATTGATTAGAAACTGAACAAGAAAAAACAATACACTGAGTGTCATTTTTTTTTTAAGTTTCATTCCTTTCTATATTTTTTCCCTCTCAGTAAGGTTTCAGTAGAGTTGCTACTGTCATGATGAACCAGTCTCAGAGATTTCAGTACAGTGTCCCACTTACTTGGGGGTTATGTTCAAGTGGCTCACATACATAAATAAAAAATTGGATAAGTGGGGAGTACTCTCTAAAACCCTTTGAATGTCTTCTCTGCTGCTCTCCCTCCATTCCAGATCAAAAATACTGCACCTAAAATACCCACATCTGGAATTTTGGGGGCTGACTGGGGGATGTGTGGAAATGTTGCTGCTTCTGCTGCTCTTCTATGCACATTAGCTGTCCGGCGGGGGCGGGTGGGTGGGTTGAGTAGCATAAACAACCCCCTGCTGCACCTCCAGTCTCTGCCCTCATATGCCATGAGAACTCTCCAGCTCTCTCCCTCCATTTCTGGGTATTAATTAAATTATTTGTTTATTTATTGTGTGCAGTGGGGGGTGCCTGTGGTTATGGGCAATATATGCTAGACCATTCCTGGTGTGGGGGTTTTAAACTTAAAATTCAATGAATAACGATTTTGGTATTTTTAATGGGTTTATTGTTAAAGATGGGCAGAATGCTTCTGAATGAATATTTTGGAGTAAAATTATTTTGAACATGAGTAAAATTAAGCTCCATTTCATTAGAAAATATAATACCACCATTCACTACTTTTTATTTATTAATTCAATATAGTGTCCCACTGACTAGTTGTGAGGTGCTTTTCTGTCAGGAACACAAATAGTTGTCCTTTTCACCATTCCTTTATCCCAGTATAATTGTCAGAAAACTAATGAACTGGTGTTCAGCTGGGAAATTTTAGGAGGTCAGATTAATCATTTCCACTGGTCAACAATGATAAGAGACTGGCCCACTGTTTTTTTCTTCCTCATTGCTGTTAATTCTGCGTGCCCTTTTGTCGTCCCATAAACAGTCAGAAAGAACTTTGAATGAAACATCAGAAACAGGGTTATTATTATTATGTTTGGGCATTTTCTGATGTTCCTGATGTAAAGGGAGCTTGTTATTATCTCACTTATAATTATCACTCTCAGCATGGCTAAGTATCCCTTGAATAATGTCTCAGTAGATTTCCAGAGAATACTAACCAATGTCAAAACATGGGTATTATAATATCTTCTTGCCATTGTCAGGAAGGGAGAGGACAGAGAAAGAGGAAGGATCTTTACCTTTCTCTTAATCAAGTTATGAAATAGGTTTTTAATCTGTGAATTGTTAGAGAAATGATATTCATGATAAAACAGAATATTATACTAAGGTTGGTTGTGAAGCAAGGTTAATGTGCTGGATGGAAATAATGCCGTTTGATGAGAAAGAATATGTGCTTCAATATGCTGCTGTTTATTGTGCCCTTTCTCTTTCATCTGCCACATTTGCTGGTCAAACATACCACGAGTTGCACCATCCATGATCTGTCCAGAATTCCACATGAATACTACCAACCTGGTCATCTTATTGTTGGCGGACTTGCTTCTCATCTCTTTGCTGCTTTTGACAAAGAAGAATTCAAAGAAAGGCTAACTATCCATCAGCGCCTTAATACCCAGTAAAGACATCAAATGTCAAATAATCAGATGATACTGAAATATCCCCCAGCTCTAACCAGGCCTCCTCAGAAGCTAGTTCCCCTGATTTCAGTGGGATTTACTTCCACTGAGGGGAAATGCAGATCTGAATGTGTCAGTGAGATGAGAGAGCCTGGTCTTGTTGATGTGTTCTCTCCTCCCCACATCCCACCAAATCTCTTCTAAGGAAGGAGAGTTTAACAAGAGGGGGACTCAAAGATTGAACCTCCCTAGTTTAAGATGGAAAGCCCTTCTCTGTTCTTAATATTCACCTCATAAACTTTCGTGTGAAGTGTCTTAAAGGCTCGCCTCTCCTTTGAGGTGATGCTTGAATAACCTCTGATGTTCTCATCCAAGTCAGGCTAGACAATTTTCTTTAATAGTTATAGACAGGGCCTGGATTAGATACATTCTGACTATATTCAGCTGAAGGTAGTGATCTGTGAATAAAAGTCAGTTAATTGTCAGTTGGGAGACGTAATGAGGGAGGTGTGACTTCCACTTCAGTGGTAAAGATCAGATTTTCCTGGAGAAAAATGGCAGGAATCGGGAAGTCTGAATGAGTCCTACATTAAGCTGAAATTCTGCTCTTTTAGTTGAAATTGTTCTGCAGATATGTGTGTATTAGGGCAAAATTTACTCTAAAATTCTGAAGAATTATCAAGAGCCCCCTGAACAATATGCATAGTATATCTCTCTATGATACAGCATAAAATTCTCTTTGCAGTATTGTGCCAAAGAACTACCAGCATATTCTGGCCTTGGTATTTGCTGTCAAGGAGATCAATGAGAACCCTAAGATTTTGCCTAATATCACATTGGGATTCCACATCTGTGACAGTTACTTCGATGAAAGGATGACCTACTGGGCTGCTCTGAACCTTCCCTCCACACTTAGTCCCAACTACAAGTGCAAAATCCAGAAACACCTGATGGCAGTTATTGCGGGACTGGACTTGGATACCTCCGTCTACCTGGCAAACATCTTGGGCATCTACAAGATCCCTCAGGTAAGATGCTGCCTTGGAGATTTCAAACATTCACTATCATATCTTCTATTCAGAAAGGATTTCTTTAATATAGAAATAGTTGTGAGAGACAAAGGAGAGTCATTCTGCCCTTCACAATGTAATGTGGTGGCAGAAGAGTTCTCCTCTCACCCCACTTCCTTGACCACACACACCTAAAAACACCGTTATCTCCATGGGCTACTGGTTGGAGACAAAAGCTGCTCTCTTGCAAAGCTGGAAGCCTGCCTATCAGGAGTCAGCTGCCCACACATTGTGGCACTTCATGGGGATTCTGTGTGTTAGTGGCTTGAGAGAGGACAGGGAAGATGCCATGAAATCAGGAGCTGAAATGCTGTGGTGAAACAAAGTGAAAAAACAGGGGAGAGGAAAGCAGCAGCTTGGGAAGGCATAGAGGAGAAAGTGGAGAAAGAAAAGGCGGAGGTTGGAGAGGAAAGCAGGAGAGCAGGAATCTGGGCATGCAGGGGTGGCAGAGAAGGAGCGGGAAGCTGAGAAACACAGGGTGCAACCTGCCACTCCTCCCAGCTTTCTGGAACCTGCCTTCTTTAGGCAACTGGTTCATTTTGCCTCCTGGATGCACATACCCAGACCTTCTGCAATTGTAGATGATGCTCCTTTATTTCCTTTTAGCTCACTTATGGCTCCTTTTCTCCAGAGGATGCTGGTCAAAGCCAATCCACTTCCTTCTACAAAATGGTGCCCAATGAATCCCATCAGTACACTGGGATTGTTGAGTTACTTCTGCACTTTGGTTGGACGTGGGTTGGATTGCTTGCTAGAGAAAGTGAAGGTGGAGAGAGATTTATTCAGGCCCTGAAACCTCTGCTCTCCCAGAAAGGCATTTGCTTGGCCTTCTCAGAGACAACCCAGAAAACGACATATTTGGCTGAGTATTATGACCTTTATCCGCACTGGATTCAAATTTATCAAGTTATTATGGAAAGTAAAGCCAAGGTGGTGGTTTTCTATGGAGAAACAAAGTCTATGCTTGCCTTGAGAGACATAGTAGCTCTTGGTGAATTGGAAAATGTGACCAAGACATCCGTGGGCAAGGTGTGGATTCTGACAGCACTGGTGGATTTCACAGCATTGACCTATCAAATGAGCCTGGATATGCAAGTCTTCCAGGGTTCCCTCTCCTTTGCAGTTCATTCAAATGTGGTACAAGGATTCAAAGCCTTTCTTCACGCACAAAATCCTTTTGAGGAAAATGGAAATGGCTTTATCAAGCAGTTCTGGGCACAGGTATTCCTCTGTTTATTTCCAAACTCCAATACAGAGGAGCAGGCCAGTGAAATCTGCACTGGCGAGGAGAAGCTGGAAGATCTCCCTTCGTCTGGCTTTGAGATGAGCATAACAAGCCACAGCTATAGCATCTATAAAGCTGTTTATGCCACAGCACATGCTCTACATGCCATGTTCTTGTCAAGGACCAAATACAGGGCAACGGTGGAAGGAGTGATGCAGGAGCTTCAGAAACTGCAGCCTTGGCAGGTAATACCTATCATAACATACAATTTATTTGACAGAAAGGCAAATACAGGCATGGAGATAAGAGTGCAAAACCCTAACATGTGCTCTTTCCAGTGAACGCCAAATTATTGTACTTCCCATTCGGAAAGATAGTTCACCTGTTTAGCAAGTTACAATTTGAATTTGGTTTGTTGCCCATTTGCTTCCAAAGTGAAGGGAAGTGACATAGAGGAAGCCTGGTAGGACCTCTTACTCCATGACATTAGCCCCCTTCATGCATTGATTAGATGTCTGCATGATAGTTTTTTGAGGCTGTTTGCCCTACGATTCTCTTCCGTGGGGTGGGAGATATCTAAGCATTGGGAACTGAAAACCATGCATTTTCCTGTCATTTCTTCTTACTCAGGAATGCATTAGGATTTTCCCTATATGAGAAAGGAAATCATTGGCTCTCTCTGTGAATGCTCGCCTTACCAACCATTTCCAATGAATGGATTCTGTTTGCATAGCAGTCCCTGCCAGTACTGAACGTTGGAGGCATCCTGAGTGTCATATGCATTACTACATAGTTCCTATTTTTCTTCCAATGCAGCTCCATCC